ATTAATTGGAGAAGATGTCAGCTGAGAGGAACAAAGAATGGACCTGTGGGAATGAAGAATATATGAAGCTGGATAATTATTATTTATAATCTTTATATTTTTTTTAATGGATAGATAAATATAATTATGAAATAATATGGATTGTTTTAAATACTATATTTAATTGAGTCATTTAATACTATATCCTTCACTATAAAGGTTAAAAAAATCACTTAAACTTCAAAGGTGGGGTCTATTTTATCCCTAAAACAAATTTGTAGACATAAATAAAAAATTAAATTTGTAGGCAAAATTCTCCTGCCCCCTCCCACCTTCATATATAAACGATGCGGAATTAAGAATTCCTATTTTTTTTACCCCTAATACACAATTTTGTAGTAATAACTTTTTCAAAATATCTTAAATAAAAATTTGTAGAAAAAACTATTTTTAAATATCTTAAATAAAAAATAAATTTGAAGGCAAAATTCTCCTAAAATTATCTTAAATATGCGGAATTAAGAATTCCTATATTTTACAACAAAAATAATTAAATTTATAAGCAAAATTCTCCTAAAAATATCTTAAATATGCGGAATTAAAAATTCCTATATTTTACCACAAAAGAATTAAATTTGTAGGCAAAATTCTCCTAAAAATATCTTAAATATGCGGAATTAAAAATTCCTATATTTTACCACAAAAAAAATTAAATTTGTTAGCGAAATTCTCCTAAAAATATCTTAAATAAAAATAATATAAAAAACAATATTAAAAAAATAACATTAAAAAAAATTATAATATAACCCCCCCCTCCCCCGAGAGTGGCAGTAACCGATTATTTAATATCCATAGTCTTTAAAAAAACAAGAGTCTGCCATACCGATGCAATATGTGTCGTAGATCTTTTTAATTATGGGTTCTTTCTTTTGGCTTGAGCCTAGTCATATTTTGACTCAAAAACAAGCTGAATTTAAGGCTAAGCCGCCTTGGCTCAGACGTTTATAAATAAATTTCGGCTCAAAAGTCGGCTTGAGCCAAGTGATGAGCCGACTCGAGCCAGCCGACTAATTTGGCTTAAAGAGCTGGCTTGAGTCAATTTTCGACTCAAAAACTTGATGAGTTTAGGGTTTTGCCGGCTTGGCTCAGTCTTTTAACACTAATCTCAAATAAATAAATTTCGCCTCAATAATCGGCTTGAGTGAGCCAATGGCTGAGCCAGCCGTCTCAATGAGCCGGCTTGAGAGCAGAATTTTTGGCTCAAAACCTGGCTGAGTTTTCGGCTAAGCCGGCTTGGCTCAGCCGTTTAACAACACCATTTAAGATATACCTGTTACAATATTAATTTAGTGGCCACATGCAAGGAAATGTTTAGAAAATGGAGTTTAAATATATCTCAACGCTTATTTCAAAAATGTCAGTCTGCGGAACAAAATATGGCCGATAATAAAATTAAAAAATTGGGAAGATATTTGATATGTCCAAATACCACAAGATGAAATTAATTTTATGAATACAGTTTATTGGATAATATATTTAGTGATAAATTGCAAGATCTTGATCATTTATGTGATAACATTGGGCTTGTGCACTTTAGCTATCAGGAACGTTAATTTAATAAATATGGCCAAGTAAATATAATGTAGATCGTTAATTTTTCGAAATAAATTTCAGGATATGGAGCCTTTGGCAAAAACCTTGGATATGGGTTTTTTTAAATACATTATTTTAAAATTAAATGATATTGCAGATTTAAAATTTTGCCAACTTGTAGATTTTCTTATACCTGGCATTAATAGAAGGTTTATAATTTGATAAAAATAAGTTATATATTTATAACCTTATTGCAAATTTTTAAGTGTTTATAATGATGATAATAGTATTGCTGCAATTATTCATCCTGCATTTAAATTAAATTGGGAATGGGTAAAAAGTGATCAAAATAGAAAACTAAAAAATAAATTGATTAATTTTATAAGAAACCAAATTTTTCTATTATTAGTGCTTGCAGTGGTCCGGTTGGACCGACCGGCCCAGTTAGGTCTCATCTGACTACAGGGTCTGACGGAACGGTCCTGTCCAACAACATGGTTCGGTCTGATTGAAGATAGATTAAAAAAGATAATAGTTTACTATGAATTGCTTTTTCGTTAATGTACATGTTCATTAATACATAAACATGATTTTTTAATGCCTAACACTTTATGATATCTCATTCATCGTTTACTTTTTCTTTTCTGTAACCACGGAATTCATGAGATTCCATCTTGACGTCTACTATTGGGAAAGAGGGGAGAGATTTCTAATGAGGTTAAAAGTACTGATAATAAAAAGAGTTGGCCATTATTATTAGAAAATTATTTAAGCCATTTCGATTCCATTTGACAAAACAAGTGATGAATGACGCTCTAGATATTATTTAAATTTTCTAACAACTTTACTTATTCCTAAATTATGATAAATTTATAAAATTTCACTATCTTCTTCCCCTGTTATGATTTTGCTGCCAGCATGATTAGAGATAGAATTTCAGTTCTCCGGTCATTATTTGTATAAGTATTTTTATAACAAAATCTTATTAATCTAATTTAAAAAAAAATAGTATTAAATATTTGCCTTCTCATATGGTTTTTTATATCATTTTTTAAAATATTCTGAAAGATAATTCAGTTCTACTTTAAATCATCCCGTGCTATTTCCCATACTTAAAAATATAAAGAAAAAATTTAAATTGTCTGGAAATGAATGCATCAACCTAAATAAGCCATCTGCAATAGCAAACTCTCCACCGAACAAAATCTGGAGGACTTGGCTTATAGTAACTATTACTCCTATCAATTCCAGCAATGTACCTATGTTGATTCATTAGTTATGGATAAATTGATCACGATAATATTTTTTGACAAATAAGAAATTCAAATATGCTATATCTCTGGTTATATTCAAATATCAACTTTACGATTCGCAAAGATGTGGCCGAGAAATGGTTGATTTTTAAACTAACCGGGGCTTAACGCCAGGTGTAAAATCGAAAATTTGTAAAGCAAAAACTTCCCCAGGGCAACGACACTACTAGATATTTTAGCTATGTTTTCTGCTTGTGAAATCTATTCTCTAAACATTTGTCTATTTTATTTGTAAATATCATTATAGAGATAAAACCATTCAAGATCTTCATTGTAATAAAAAAGAGTAGGTGGTAGAACGTTGGATTATTCTAAGCTAATTTTGATTTTTTGCTATAAATAGTTAGGAGATAGGTATAAAAAAATTTTTTTTTTGGGGGGGGGGGGAGGGATGGAGTGTAAAATTTTCATAGATGTAATATTGGCATTAAAAAATGTGAAGATATAATTGCATTAATCGTCCTGAATGGGCATATCCTATATGTGCCAAGAATTATCTATTTTCTATGTGTCTTTAGTGGGAACACTAATTTTTGGTACATACTAATATTTTATTTTAATTATATACTAGTTAAAAAAAATAGAAATGAAAAACTTTATTTATTGGTTAAATTATATTTGTCATCATACCCAGAAGGTCTTGCCATATAACCCAGGGCCGTTTAGAATAAAAAACATTACTTATAAAAGGTAGAAAGGCCTGGTCTTTTTATTTTGCAGATGAGTCTATCCAAATATAGAATAGTTTAATTTTATCAAAATATCCGCCATATAACCACGGTCTCCTCAACTCTAACTTCCCGGGATATGGGCAAACTCATGTACTGGAATTCTACATGCATAGACATTTTTGTCTCCTCTTATAGTAATAATGATCTACCAGGAATTGCCGAGAAACCAAAAATATCGCAATTCACCAAAAACAATATATTCATTCCCATCATGGTTTCAACAATCTGCTCATTCGGGAAATAGACAAAATCCTTTACTTATGAGCCAAAGATCTCTAAAACAACACTTTCGAAAGCCTTGATCAAACAAAGTGTACTTTTTGAAATCATATGCTACAACTTTAAATTATTTAGAGATTCCTGGTCATCTTCATCTGAAGAGTGGCTAAATATTTTTAAGACGATTTATTTTATATATATCTTTTTTTGGCAGAAAGAAAGAATTATAAAGGAAAAACAACTTTTCCATTTTAATATCAATTAATTAGAAAAATCAATAAAATACAGGGCGATATTAACAAATTCTTTTCTCCACATATAATATCTTTTTAAATAAATAGTATAAATTTATCAATGTAATTTGTGTAAATTATCCAAATCAACAATCAAATTATTCTATTTGATTGACTTATATTATAAATGATAGTAGATATATGCAAATATGATATAAATCTATGACATGGCCACCCTAAAAAAATTAATATTACATAATATTTTTCAAAAAAATCCTTTTCAATTGTTCATTTTAAATCAGAGTTCATCGACCACGATAATCCCATTCTTTTTTTCTGATGCATTTGTATTTTAATGTCTTTTTATATTTAAAATTAATTAATAAAATTATTAATAATTTCAAAAATGTAATTGTTTATTAAAATAAATATATAATTTATTTTATAAATTCATAGCAAAATAATAGAATTTCTAATTATATCCTAGCATTAAATTGGCCATTCATTGTTGATATAAGCTACTTATCGAAAATGCCAAAAATCTTTCATTTGGAATTGATAAACTTGTATTTAAATCCCAATTAATAATATATAGATCTTAACATCAAAATGATAATAATTCTTTCATATTCACTTTAAAATAAACAATTAACATTTAATTTTAATATGAACCGTAAAAATCTACCAACGACGGTCCCAAGTCCGTGTGCAAAAAGTGGAGGGTTGGCGTCAGGTCGGAAACCGGCTGTAAAAACCCACTCCAAAATGATGATAGTTTCAAATAAAACTCTACAACAGAAAGCTAGGGCGTCCTCCACAAACGACGCGCACTGCATCTCCCGCCCGTGCAATGCGAATAATACGCTAGGGTTATCGCCTGACTCACAACGAAGGCGGTTAAGGAAGTTAGTTGTGGATAGAATGCGAATAACATGCTGGAATGTGGGTACGTTGACGGGATAGAGCTACGAGGTCGCACAAATACTAAAAAGAAGAAAGGTACACATCGCCTGCCTACAAGAGACGAGATGGAATGGAACGCTCGGGAGTTAGGAGAGGGATACAAGTTATTCTACAGTGGGTCCAAATCGTAGAAACGGGGTCGGTATCGTTCTAAGCGAATCGTTCAAGAATAAAGTGGTGGAAAACTGTTCAGACAGGTTAATGTGGGTGAAGATTGCAGATCAAGGAGGCCTCCTAACCGTTATGTGCGCGTATGCTCCTCAAATTGGGTGTATGGAATCAGAGAAGATATATTCATCGATTCATTGAGGGATACATAGAATACGACAGGAAGAAAAGCTAATTATTGGGGTGGACTTCAACGCCCACATAGGAAAAGATCGTCTCGGGTATGAACGAAATCATGGAGGTTATGGGAATGGTCTGAAGAACAAGGAAGGGGAAAAACTTCTCCAAGTATCTCAAGCATATGACATGGCGATCGTTAACACTTATTTTCAAAAGCGTGAAGATCATATTGTGACTTATAGAAGTGGAAAGCATTTTAGTCAAATTGACTATCTGCTTATACGGCGAAAGGATTTATGGAGGATCAAAGATTGCAAAGTAATACCGGGAGAAGAAATCGCCATGCAACATCGTTCACTTGTCATGGATCTTGAAAGAAAAGGGTTTCCGGAAAGAAGAAAGGTTTATGAACTTCGAAATAGGTATGAAATGCTAAAGGACATGCCGACGAACGATAAATACCATCAGAAAGCCTCCACACTCTTGGGTGCCAGGAAGTTAGAAAGAAACGTAGACGACGATTGGGAGACGCTAACTGCAGGCATAAAGGAAACGGCGATTCAGATTCAAGGACAGACCAAAGGAGGCAAAGCTTTGAATAGGGAACTATGGTGGTGGGATCAATCGGTTAGGGATTTCATCGAAAGAAAGAAAATTCTATATAGACGGTGGCATAAATCTAAAAAGTCGGAGGATTATCAAGAATATAGGGAGGCAAAGAGAGCCGTGAAGAAGGCCGTTGCAGAAGAATGCTTACACCGAGATGGCAAACAAACTATGTACAAATTGGCCAAGATAAGGGAGAAGAAAAGTCGCGATGTCGAGTCCTTAAAATAGTCAAAAATGAGGTGGGTAAAACCTTATTTAAGCCGAAGGAGGTGATGGAAAGGTGGAAAGGATATTTCAAGGAACTTATGAATATTGCTAATGACAAAGATTTCCTTCCCGATATTTAGCCAAACATAAGTATGGTCGAACTCTTTCAGGAGGATAAAGTTTGGACGCAAATGAACAAGATGCAAAAAGGAAAAGCTAATGGCCCAGATGGAATTCCTATGGAAGCATGGATCGGATGCCGAGAAGAAGAAGCATGACCATGACGAACCTCTTTAACAAGATATTGGGAGAAGAACGAATTCCTAATCAATGGAGAGCAAGCACGATTATACCCTTATTCAAAGGCAAAGGAGACCCTCAGGAGTGTGGTAATTACAGAGGTATCAGGCTAACTTGCCACTCCTTGAAACTTATGGAAAGGATCTTAGAGGCTGAAGAACGTGGTGGAAATATCGGCTAACCAATTTGGATTTGTGGCCGGCAAATCCACAATCGATCCGATCTTCGCACTAAGACAAATGATGGATAAATATGGAGAAAAGAAAAGAAACCTACATATGGTCTTTATTGACTTGGAGAAAGCTTAGGACACGGTCCCTCGCGATTTAATATGGTGGTGCTTAAGAAAACAAAATATCCCTGACGCATATGTACGGCTTATGAAAAATATCTATGAAGCCTCAACTTCTTGCGTTAGAATGACACTTGGAGACGAAACCTTTTTGGCTTGAAATTGGATTACATCAAGGATCTGCTCTTAGTCCTTTTTTATTCAATATAATTATGGACACGATAACGAGAGACATCCAAAAGCCATCTCCTTGGTGTATGCTATATGCCGATGATATAGTAATGCGAAGAGACAAAGGAGAAAGTATTCGAAGAAGCCGAAAAGTGGTCAAAACGCTTAGCTGGATATGGTTTAAAGGTCAACAATCGAAAAACGGTATACATGGAGATGAACGTTACAGGCACCCCATCGCTGGATGACCAATTAATGTACCCAAAAGTAGACAGGTTTACATACCTAGGCTCGATGCTACAACAAGAGGGAGGTTGCGCAAAAGAATTCAATGCACGGATTCAAAAAGGATGGCTTAAATGGCGAAGTATATCCGGTGTAATGTGCGACAAGAAGATGCCAATATAGTTGAAAAATAAAGCTTACAAATCCATCGTAAGACCGGTGTTACTCTATGGAAGTGAAACATGGGCATTAAACGCTATGGAAGAAAAGTTATTACAAGCCACGGAGATGAGAATGATACGGTGGAGCTTGGGGTATACTAAACTCGACCATATGACGAATGACTGTCTCAGAGCAAAAATGGTTATTCTCAACCTATGGCGGACTTGATAAACGAAAATCGGTTAAGATGGTATGGTCATATACTAAGAAGGGAGACGAATGATATAAATGGAAAAGTATTGGACATGGAGGTGCCGGGGAAGAGAGAAAGAGGACGACCTCGTGTTACTTGGAAAGATCAAGTAGACAAAGTTATGATGACTCTGAAGATAAATCCGGACATGGCCCTTACTCGATCAAGATGGAAGAAACTTATTAAAACAAACCCAAAGACTCTGGGACATTATACATGATAAAGAAGAAGATGAACCGTTAAAATAAAATAATATAAAAAATTAATTTTATAATATGGAAAAGCGAAACTAAATTATCAAAAAACAATTAATTTTATAATATGGAAAGGCGAAACTAAATTTATAATATATCGATTTTATATGATAGCAATATTATTTCAAATGGTAAAAATATTTTACCTATTATAAAAATTCAAATTAATTAAAGTGACGTTAATTGAGAAAAATGGATCGAAAGATATCTCTATTTAAAAAAGAAGAATTAATATATAGAACGTTTTCATTGAGAATAAAATATGGTCCTTCGTTATATAGTAAAAAAGAATCCCGGAAAAAAACCCCCAAAATTTTTTTTCTAATTTACTTAAGACCTAATAATATCGATATATTTTTATTTAGATTTAATAAGGTATAGACAAATTAGTATTTTAGAAAAAAATATTATAAAAATATAATTTAATAATAAATTTTTTTAGGCCCCAATTCATTACTTAAAGGTTACTCATATACCCTCCATAAAAAATGCTTAAGCAAGAAAAAATGCTGATATTCAAATTGATACTTGGAAAAAAAATACCCCAGTAAAATAACCCATGTATTACTTATTTTCGTAAAAATTATTTGCTATGGTAATAAATACAATCCATCCTTAATTACTAATTTTTATCGAAATATTCAAGAATATCCTTACCATTGCTTGGAGTAACCGATCTAAGGAATGCCATTGCATTGCCCATATCATATAAAGTAACAAACGCTAAGCCTTCCATCATGCTACAAAAGAAGCTTAGAGCTTTATCGGTTCTGTATTGCCTTTCCAGACCTCGCTTTTGAATTTTTTTATAGGTACTTTGACACAAATGGTAAAAGCATCCTCTGATTATGATGTGATCCCTTGAAAAAATAAATATAAATAATTTAACATTAATAATCATACCAATGACAGTTTTAACCGCGTTCATAGCAGACTTTTCGAAATCCATGTATATATATAATGGATCAGGAAATAAATCCCGTTCTTGACATTTTGACATTATTACTTCGAATATTTTTTCGTAAGTATTTTGTGTTTTTTTGGAGTACACAATAAACAGTGGTGATAAAAATATTGTTTATTGTAAACCCTTAATGATAAACAGCTGTTAATGATTGTGGCATTCGCTTATAAAATTATTTATCAATATTAATTATTGCTAGGTTATACTAAAAAAATTAAGTGAAAATTAAGAAGAAAAAATTGAGAAATGATCAAAAAAATAAAGATTAACAATGACTTAAAGGAAAATTGGGAAGAAAAATATAATTTGAGAAAAAAAATTAAGAAAAATTGACAAGAATTTTTTTTTAAAAAATAACGATTTTCCTTTGTTTCGAATTATTTTTCCATGGGGGTTTTTTACGGGGGTTTTTTTTCTTTCTATTATCAGTAAAAAATTATTAATTAATTATATCTGATAATTCGAGTTTTTATAGTTAGTTTTATAAATATTTCATTATTAATAATTTAAAAGATAATTTTCATAAAAATTTTAATAACTTTAATCTATATTGTCTTATCGCTCTGCTGACTTTTAAAATTAAGATGTTCTGCAATCGGTATAAAAGATTATAACTTGTTGAATATCCTAATTTTATACAAACTATTCTGTATTCATTTATCCGTAAATTACATTAAAAAAAATCTCATAATTATTTTATAACATTAAAATATTTAATTGTTTAAAAGTATTGGCAAACTATCATATACTATATATGATTTTTTATATTGGAATTTAATAATTATACTTCAAAATAGGTAATTTATACTTTAGTCTTTATTTAGCATATTTATATACAATATATTTTTTATAAAATTATATACAATACTATGTTGTATATTTTTATGTATATCCTACCATTGATAATAGTAAGTGACCGCCAAAGTTTGAAAAGGCCTTTTTTCTTACAAAATAGCATTCAAAATGACGATATATTTAAAGGTGAGCGACCTTTATCCTTAGATGTGTATGCAGGTTCAAATTTAGTGGTGGTGCCTAATAAACTTAAAAAAAATAGATTTCCTAATCCGCTGGAAATAAGGAGTTCTAAAATAATGAAAACCGAAAATATATCTTTAAATTTTTCAGATAGCAGTTTTATCTTTCTAACAAATGATAAAAAAAAACATGCTAGTCGTTTACATAAAAGAACAACCTCAATTGATCGTTTTTCTGATCCAGATTTCAATTTTTTTGATGAGAGAAATTTTCCAGAATCATGGTTTAAACCAATTACGAGGCTACCCTCCTATAGAAAACGTAAATATAAAAAACGACCCACACACAAATATTTTAATGCAAATAGAGGTGCGAAAAAAAATATTCATAACATGCCAGCTAAAATTAGTAAAAATATAAATTATAGTCCGTTAACGCCAAATTTATACCAACCTTATGATGTTATTAGAAAAAATGATTTATCATTTGATAGTGGTAATTTTAAATATAATCCTGATTTTGACTTAAATAAAAATGATATAAAAATCCTCAAGACACATCCTTATAAATTAAGAATCAGTGGAGAATCAGCAATCAATATTCTAGATAGATTTATAGAAAATGAACATAAACAAAATTTAATGGAAAACCATGGAAATTTAATGACTACTAATATAAATGCTAGAACCCAACCGGAGTCAAAGCAAAACCAAATATATAATTTAGAAGCGCATGATTCCTATATTAATACCCCAGAACCAATTTATTATTCTGCTAATCAGTTTAATGCATATCAAAGCCAGGAAATGAATGCTAATAGTTATTTCTCAAAACCTTTCAATTATTATTCCAATCCATACATAAATCAACATCAACAAGAATATCATCCACAATATAATACTTACGATAACTTAGGTAAATCTGATAATTATAATGAAAATATCGCAAGTCAAATAACACAAGGTCCTTTGCAAAATATTCAAATGCCACCATATATTGGATACGATAAAAACCAAATAAATATTACCGAAGAAGCCTATTATACAAATGACATGCCAAAGGCTGTGAACGAAAATGATATATCTTATAATCTTCAAACCCAAGACTATATTTTTCCATATATAATGTCTAGCGATGAATTTAGTAGATATCTGCCACAAACAAATGAGATAATTGAAATACCATTAACATTAAAAGACGGTTTTATGAGTTCTAATTTAAAACCTATTACAAATCATAATTATAAAGGTCAATCTTTAAATCTACCCAAGCTATATCCCAATAATTCTATCTTAGAAGATGAAATTGACATGAATACCATTGAATTAAACAATACGAATGATAATAATATTAAAAATTATTATCAGTTTAGAGACAACTCAATCAAATCTATATTAGATCATAGGCGCAGTTCATTAAAACCCGATAAAATTATTTTATCAACTTTGCCGCATAAAATAGCAAAAACTAATTATGATAAACGGATAAAATCATCAGATAGATTCACTAACATAAAGCCTGGTTATGAAAGACAAGATTATAAACATGTCAATTATACGCCTCTATTTAATAAAAAATTATTTAAAAATAAAAATTGGATAAGAATATTTAAATAAAGCTAATTTTCTATAATAATCGCCAATAATTTTTTTTAACCCCATGAACAACTTTTATCCAATCCTCGCATTATGGAAAAAATGAATATGATTGGATACTGATTATAATTATTTATAATGAAAATTTGTGTTTACTAGAATAGTAAAAAAATTATATCCTTTGACTCCAATTTTAATCACCATTCTAAGTGGGCAGGTTTAGGTCTTGGGGGGGGTTAGAATTGTTAAACTTTCTATAATAAAAAATTTGTTATAAGTTTCAAATAGAAGTTAATTAAAATATTACTGCCGAAATAATGACCAAGTTAAGTGAGTGGATCTAGGTTCTGGGAGGGTAAGGATCATTCTTCAAACTTTTCAGAACCTAAAAATTTGACAAGAATATCAAATGAAAGCTAATTATAATATCTTTTATGCAAAGGCCGTATATTACTGTCAAATAATAACCGCGTTTAGTGAGTGGATCTAGGTTCTGGGAGGGTAAGGATCATTTTTTAAACAATTCATAATATAAAAATTTGTTAGTTTTTCAAATGAAAGCCAATAATATTTTTTTGCATAAGTAATATTCACTCAAAGTAATGGACTGATCTAGGACTTGGGAGGATTAGGATTGTTAATATTTTTTTGACCTCAGTATTAAATATTAAAAAAATATAATCATTCTAAGTGAGCAGTTCTAATATTTGGTGGGTTAAATTTTTTTTAACTTTTAGTAACATAAAAATTTGAATGGGTAAGCGACCCAAATTTCGAGTTCATTTTTTGAATCCTGCTCAAAGTTTGGGTCTTTTTTTGGCTCGAGTTGAAGCCAAAAAAACGACATTTGTCCAAAATCTAGGTGGTTTATTTTGACCTGATCTAAATGTTAAATTTCTTATTGCGTAAGTTATAAAAATGAATTTATTTTGAACGGGTTAAATTAAAATAAAATACTTTTTGGCAGACAAATCATT